TTTTGTTCATCCAGTTTAGGTTTTTCATTATATCCATAAATGAGTGAGATCATGTGATATTTATCTTTCTCTGACTGGCTTATTTCACCTTAGCATAATGCTTTCCAGTTCCATCCATGCTGTTGCAAATGGTAAGAACTCCTTCTTTTTTACCGCAGCGTAGTATTCCCTTTGTATAGATGTACCAAAGTTTTTTAATCCACTCATCTACTGATGGGCACTTAGGCTGTTTCCAAGTCTTAGCTATGGTGAATTGTGCCAGATATCATTTTTATAAAAATTACCAGGAGATTCTGATGCATAGGGAAGACAGAGAGTCATCAAATCATAATTATAAAGTGACAGGAATATATTTGTTTTGTTTTGTTTTAGACAAGCATATTACTAGATATAATAAAATACATGGCAGCTCAAGATGCCCATCTCTACAAGTCAATCCTTCCAGGGGTGAAGACACTGCCCTACACTTGGAATTTCAGGGTGATCAATGAAAAACCTTTTCCTGGTATAGCTAGGGATTACATCTAAGACCAGCTCTGCTCTTACGGTTTAGGGACAAATACTATCTCCCTCAGTATACTTTGTTGGGTTTATTTTCTCCTTGATTCTTCTTTCTCTTAGAATTGTAAGATCTAGATGAAGGCACTTTGGACATTAAGACAATGTAAAGACCCGCTTTTAGCATAAGCCTTGGTTCTGAGTGTAGCTTAGGCAAAAAGAGTTTTCTTATGCTCCAGGTGGTAATTTTCTAGCTCACTAAATAAATAAACACACACACACACACACACACACACACACACACACACACACACATCACACACATATCCCAAAGAATACCTCCCTAGTTAGCATTTTCCTAGTAAAAGCATCTGGGTTTTTAATACATAAACTTTATATAGTATAAGTATCTCTCCTTTGAATCTATTGGCCAATGTATTTCCTGTAAACTTAAAGGAACATTTTTAGCTAAACAATATTTTAAAAAACTGAAAGTTTCCAAATCTAACAAGTAGAACATTAGAATTAGAATTAGTCATGTCAAAATCACAATGATATAGATAAAGGAAATATGAATTTTGAAGCTATATATATATATATATATATATATATATACATATATATATATATAGCAATTTCTTTTTCTCACTTAAAAAATTGAGAATCTGAAATTAAAGAGCAAATTACTAACTTAATGCATGAAATTTCTGAGTCCCTTTGTATCTGTTAGATGAAGTTTTAAAACTCTATTGTTCAAGTATACTCTATAATTATTTTACACATTTGGTTATAAGTTTCTGCTCTGGGTGTGATAAAATTTCCAACCATGATTTTAAAATTGTAAATTCAACTTTTCTTGTAATTTGCTCTATTTTTGCTTCATAGGCTCAGAGCTTTGCTGCTAAAACCATATAAATATGTAAAGGTTATGTTTTCTTATTGAGTTTTCTCTTTATTTTCTGTAGTATTTCTCTTTATTCCCACATATGTTTTCTAATCTAAATTATATGTTGTATTGCCATTCCAACTTCATTTTTATGATTGTATTTATGATTGGTATGACCTGATTGGTATGATCTGACTGTTTGAAGGAGAAGAGATTGATAAGCTGTACTGTATTTGTTGATAGGTCAAGTAAAATTGGAAATAATAATTTACTGTTGAATTTGGTAATGGGAAGTCATAGGTGACCTTTATAAGAGCATTTCTGGTAGAGTGGCGGATGGGAAAAATGACCCCATGGCATAAAAGAGAAAGGCAGAAAGATATTTTTATGATTGCTTACTGTAGATTAACTTAGATTTGCAGTAAGTAATAGTAGCTAACAATTACTGGGCACAGACAGGGTTATAAGTACTTTACACCTGTTATCTCTTCTCACTAGCACAATAGTGCTGTGGGGTAAAAGATATTATTGTCTCCACTTGGCAGTTAAGAAAACTGAGATACATAGAGATTAATGAATTTACCCAATATCATCCATCTGGAAGTAACAGCCAGAAACCAAAGCCCGAGAATCTTGCCCTGATGTCCATACTGTCAGTGACCACATGCAGAGTAATCAGTGTCCCTGAAGTCACTAATGTGAAAGGCCTTGAAGATCTTCTGAGGGAACAACTACAAGAATTACCACCATGTCACCAGAGCTCCTGTTACACCCATAATGGGGGTCCAATTCCTTAAAGTCTTGCTCCTTGGCCGCACAGGTTGTGTTTCTCCCTGAGTTCCTCATGTTGTCTCTCCAAACCCCCTGGAATCTTAAAGCATTTTTATCCTTTTAAGCGACCTGCTAACTTGGATGTTTTGTTTTTCAATATAAATGAGTCACTTAACGACAATATTCTAAATGGTCCTGGAAACTTTCAGAAGAAAATATTGGTCCATAAATATAAAATATTTATTCACTGAACTAAGTACTTAAAATGAAAATAAATTACTATCTTAATAATACTATAGGTTCACTGAGTGAATTTATGGCTGTGGTCATGGTGGAGCACCATAAAAAATGTAGTATCATATTGAGAAATGAGTAAAATAATATAAACAGGAGCCCAAATACTGAAAACATAAAATTAGTCTTCTGTGCTTATATCCACTGTGAAAATAATTGAAATACTATGTGGAAATTTTGGAAGGATTCACATAAAGAAAACAAAGATATCTGAAAATTGAATTATCCTGTTTGAAGTAGGAAAGAATAAACTTATAAAGATTCCTTAGGGAATCCAACTAATAATTTTTAAAATTATGCATAAAGACATGCAATAAGCCAAGTAAAATATCCTATAATTTAAATATACTGTAATGTGGACAAAACTGAGTAAATTATTAAACATACCTCAATTGAAATATTATGCAGTCGGTAAAGATAATCTTGATAAAAGTATGTAACAACATGAATCATACTTATAGACTAAGGTAAGATGAAAAAAATTAAACATGGTACATAATTAAATGCATAGAATGATTACTATTGTGTTTTAATCAAATCAGAGAAAGAACCAAGATTGGGATGACATATTCAAAATTTTCTAGTACTGTGTTTAAGTGATAAGAATGTTTATACTTATTTTCATATTTTCCATCTTTTACTGAGCAGATATATTTGATTATAAAAATATTATTTTACACAGAGAAAGTAATCATAATTAAATCATAGGTAGTTTTTAAAGAGGGAGACATTTATAGAAAACTAGGATAAATAGGAAACCACAATGGGAACAAAGGAAAATTCTTAAAATGAAGATGAACTCTAGTGTGAATTAATATTTCATGGCAATCCTTTCACCTTATAAGTCCAGCAACCTACTAATCCTATGACCTCTTCACTGCCCCTTACCTGACTTGCCTCCCTGCTAACTTTCTCTTTCTATATTCACAGCATAAATGACAGGAAGTCAAATTGCCTTCTTGTATGCCTCCTTAACTTTCTCCTACTAACTAATGAAACCATACATTGGTGAAATCTAACATTCCAACTACTTGTCCTAATACAGAAAGCTGTTGATCTTGCTTCATATTTTATTAACAATTTTCAAAAGAAGCCATCAGAGAGATCTTCCACCTGTTTGCAACACATGCCTTGAAGTATTTGGAGCCATGTATTTAGATTTCTTTCCTACTAGAGGCCTGATGCACAAAATTCAGGAGTAGGCCTTCCTTCCTCCGGCACCCGGAACCAAAGTTTCCCTTGCAACCCCGGCTTTGTCCAGAAGAATGGCCTGTCTAATTAGCATATTATGCTTTCATTATTATATATTACTGTGGATGAGTTTACAGCACAGCCAGCCAAGTCTCCCCATCTACATGTATGCAGGTCCCATTCCTGCTGACCTACTCAGAGAAAATGCATCAAAAACACTCTTCCATCTTTCCTACATTACAAGTTTATTCCCCTCTATTACATCTTTCCCATAAGCATAAAAACATGCTGATACTTCTGACATCTTAAACAAAAATTCAGCCAAACCTGTCTTGATTTTGCTTCACCTCACTGTACCTTTCCCTTTGCAGCCAAAACAGACATACAACACACACACACACACACACACACACACACACACACACACACACACACACCCTTCTCTCCTTTATCTACAAATACTTTCTTCCTTTCTTTTTATACCAAGAGATTATTTTTGCCCACCCCCTCCTCTACCAGAAATGCTCTTGTTGAGGTCACCTATGACTTTCTATTGCCAAATTCAACAGTAAATTATTATTTCTAATTTTACTTGACCTATCAACAAACACAGTACAACTTATCACTCTCGTCTCCTTCAAATAGTCAGATCATACCACTCAGGTCATACTATTCATCCATGTTCAAGACCTTGCAATGACTTCTCAGCCAAATAAAAGCCAAAGTCATATGGCCTGTATGGCCCTACTCAATAGCATCTGGCCCTGTTGCCTGTCTAGGGTCTTTCTCCTTCCTCATATGACTCCAGCCACTCAGGTTACTTGCTGTTCCTTGATGGCACAGGGCACATTTCTGCCTCAGGGCTTTTGCACTTACTGTTTTCCCTTTCACTGTATATTTCATCAACATCTCAGATATTTTCTAAAATAGCACCTCATTAATGAGGAGTTCCCTGGCCTTCTATTTTAAATTAATAACTCAACACATATTCATTGTTGCATATCTCTTCCTTATTTTTTTCCATACCACTTACAACAGTTAAATATGCTACATAAGTGGCTAATTTATTTTGTTACGTCCCATTTTCCCCATACTAGAATGCAATCTCCTTAAGGGTGAAGATTTATTTCTTTGCCTATTTTGTTCACTCTTGTATCCCCAGAACCTAGAATAGTTTCTAGTATATAGCAGCTGTTCAATAAATAATTATACAGTAAATGTTGAATAAATTTTATTTCCCCTTAAAAATTGAGAAAGAAATAACTGGATTAACAGACCAAAATTAATGTGTAACAAATCAACAGAAGTCTGTGAAGGTTTTCTAGGTAGTTTGTGAATCTATTGCAAATCTGCCACACAGGTAGTTTACATGAATGGCTGACTTTTGTTTAAAAAATGCTAACCGCCCAGCCAGTGTGGCTTAGTGGTTGACCTAAGCACCAGGAGATCACGGTTCAATTCCCAGTCAGGGCACATGCCTGGGTTGTGAGCTTGATCCCCAGTGTGGGGTGTGCAGGAGGCAGCCAATCAATGATTCTCTCTCACCATTGATGTTTTTCTCTTTCCCTCTCCCTTCCTTTCTGAAATCAGTTTTAAATGCCAATCACAGTGCAAAAGCTCTGGAAAGATAATCAAGAAGTGACAGTTAAATTACACCGTCAGCTCTAGCCCAAAGTGAAGGAGGCTGCCTGCAAACATAAGATGGGGGAAAGAAACAGAGAAGTAGACAGACAGACAGAGATCTAGGGAAGTATATGAGACTCTGGTATCTATCCTTCTACCTTCTAATCTGCATTATAATCAATGGTATATTAGAGGGTTAAAGTGGCTCATTGTAAATGAGTAGAACAGACAATCACAAAATATCTTCACTTTCCTAAATTATCTTCAGGTTCATACTTTGAGAGCTAGCAAATGTCTACATTCTTTAGTCTACATACATCCCAAGATCTCATTCTGTGAATATTTGAATAGCTCACTCCTGATCTAGTTTGGTTATTAATTTCAAGCACTTATTTGTTTTACAAGCTCACAGAGACAGTCACATGAAGTGATATTCTAAGTAAGCCCCCACTAGCTTTAATAAATAAGCTCTTAGTCTGATGGAGGCCAGTCTTTCGTATCCCAAAGTGACTTAATAATAAAAGAAGGACATCTAGGAGATGGACTAACAATAAATAAGTGGTACTCTAAAGATAGAAAGATAATTATCTAACTGACCAGCTTTACAGTGCTAAAAAATAAACCAGGGCCATTTTATGTTTGCTCAAATATATGTATTCCAAATCATTATTTTCTAGTGAACATCAAATATAATTATAGTGATGCCAAATTAAATGTTTAATTTTAAGGTTTTCCACTTAACTTCCTTTACCCAAAACATTTTTATCCTAATATTTTAATTATTGTTTAGCATAGTATATTTAAAGCCAAAAATTAACTAACAAATTATTACTGGATCTTAACATTAAATAAAAGTTTTTTTCTTGGTACAAATTTTGCAGAGCTGACAAGTGAATATAAGAGTCAAGGTATAACAAATAAACATTCCTATTGGTTGATTCTTTTGTTCAAAAAGGAATTGCCTGTGCCTTCCCCCCCCCCCCAGCCTGCACAGATAATTCTAAAGCATGAAAGCTCTGGCGAAGGTCACAGCTTCAAAACAGCAACGAAGCCAAAATCTGTTAGGTTTTTGTCAAACCAAGAAGCATGAAAGGATTTTCATCATAAGCCCTTTTCCTAATAATAAGTACTTTTTCTTTTTTGAAAGCCTGTCTGTGAACTTCTAATGACAGAATGACCAATAGACCTACTCCTATGACTTCTGCTGATATAAAATCCAATTTGACACTGACCACACACACACACACAAACACACACACACACACACACACACACACACACACACACACACACACACACTACTCCCAATAATGTTTGCTTTCTGTTTTGTGACAATATAGTCTTTCCTTGAAAAACACAACTTACCCTATAAACACAAAGCTAATATTTGATGAACGACCTGCTCACCTTTCTGTCACACCAGTTTCACTTATCTGAACATTTTTTCTTAGTGAACATTTTATCCATCTCTGCAAATGACTAGCAGCAACACAGCACCTACTGTGGCACTCAGGGTCCAGTAAGAAAAAATAGAAACCATATGAGGTCTTTCTATCCACAGGAAGTGGAAAGCTGAAAGAACAAAAAGCGAAAGTGAATTAACCTAGATATGGATACCTACAGGAAGCAGCTACTACCCCCACGGCCAGGGAAACAAAAGGGAGGAGGAGGTGGTAGAACCCAGAACCCGCTTGCCACTGTATTTCCAGAGTGCCTCGAGAAGTACTGAAACACTAAGCATGGGGTCCCTAAATCAGATTTGGACCAAGGATGAGGGCCATGCAGCAGGTGCTTGGACAGCTGGGACGAGGTGTCTTGAACACACTAGTTGGGAAATACACTGGGACCTACAGAACTGGTGCTGGAACTGCTGAGGAGGTACCACTCAGCTCTGCTGACAAGTGCTGGTATAGCCAAGGGGAACTCCACGTGGCAGGCGCTGGGGTACCTGAGGAGGCACGAGTGCTGGATGCTAGGCAGAATTCTGTACTAAAGCTACTGGAATGGCCAGAGGATGCTATAGTTCACAGCTTTGTGCTGCTGGGGATAGAGGCCCAGCAGCTGAAAACAGAAAATGAGTCTCTTTTCCCCTCCTTCTTTTCTCAGTCTCTTGCCAGGACCTCCCATTTGCAAGACCAAACTGGAATCTTGCTGACAATAACAACCTGCAAAGGTAATCTGTAGGGTATGGAAAATCTATAATACATAGAAGAGCATCAACTGGTAGAGATGGAGGCTGGAGGCAAACAGGCAAGTGGCTGGCACATCTCCTCTTTTCTATGTCAATTTTTCTGTAGTATTTATTTAATATGACTACACCTAAACTTGCAAATGAGAATTTGGCATCTCATTTTTATCATTTAACTAAAGGAGGAAATAATAAAAATAGAAGATGAGGATATGATATATATAATACATAATATGTATATATATTACTATAAACTAATGTTTTTATTTAAGCCTACTATTGAAGAAATTATAATTTTTCAACTTTACTAAGGAACATTTAGTAATTTTATGCAAGTTACTAAATTATATCTATCTTTTCTTACTGTCATAAAGCCATGTTAATGTTCTACTCAAACCAATAGATGATGTTGTTGAGCAGATAATTTATACAAGAAGTATACAAGAAAAAATTTATTAGTCTGTGGTATATTAAATGACTTCTAATTCAATTCTTAGCTATCCTCTTATTGAGATTCCCCATGAATCTAGACTGGCCTCAGTGGTTTGCTGGACTAATAGAATGCAAGAAAAGCAATGTGTTGGGATTTCCACGTCTATCATGCAAAGCCTTGGAGCCTCTGACTAGGTCTCTTGGAAAACTTGCTCTAGGTCAGTGGTTCTCAACCTTCTGGCCCTTTAAATACAGTTCCTCATGTTGTGACCCAACCATAAAATTATTTTCGTTGCTACTTCATAACTTTAATGTTGCTACTGTTATGAATCGTAATGTAAATATCTGATATGCAGGATGGTCTTAGGCCAGTGGTCGGCAAACTCATTAGTCAACAGAGCCAAATATCAACAGTACAACGATTGAAATTTCTTTTGAGAGCCAAATTTTTTAAACTTAAACTATATAGGTAGGTACATTGTTATTAACTTAATTAGGGTACTCCTAAGCTGGCCTTTGCTAAAAACATCCTCAATCTGATTGAGGTCAACCCCTTCCAACTCTCCCATCCACACTCGTCTTGTATACTTGTTTTGTCTATCTCCTTTCCTTCATCCTCTCTATATGTCCAAACCATCGCAACATACCTTTCTCAATCCTTGACACTACATCTTCTTTCACTCCACAACGTTCCGTAAAATTAACTTAATAAAGTTTCAATCGCACTATACGTGCGCACCTGCACATGGTATTTTGTGGAAGACCCACACTCAAGGAGCCAAAGAGCCGCATGTGGCTCACGAGCCACCGTTTGCAGACCACTGTCTTAGGCGACCCCTGTGAAAGGGTCGCTCGACCGCCAAAAAGGTCATGACCCACAGGTTGAGAACCGCTGCTCTAGGTGAAACCAGCTGCCATTTAAGAATTCCAACTGCCCTGAGGCCACCAGGTTGAAGAGTCTACGTATAAATGCTCTGGCGGACAGTCCCAACTGAGCCCCGACTTCTAGTCATCCCTGGAAAGTGCCAGAGGTGAATGTGAAGCCATCTTGAACCCTCCAGTCCAGCCCACCTACAAGCCCAGAGCCACAGTTCATACTATACTGAGCATAAAACCACCCAGCCAATCCCGACCTAAATCTCTTAGCTACCTATTTGTGAGATATAATAAAATGCTTGTTCTGAGCCGCTGTTTGGGGGTAGTCTGCTTAAGTAGCAAGAAATAACAGAATATGCTCCTTTCAAGGAGTAAAGAAACGCACACTAACACAAATTATCCCTGCAAAAGGTAACCTGGTTATGCTAGCTATATGAGCTAAAAATAATTAAATCACAAACCACAGTACTAATGAACTTCAGGGATAAAGTATGCTTATATATTACTAGTGAAATGGAAAATAATTACCAGGTTCTGACACACTGCTCAATAATGACAGAGGCAGGGAAACCAGCTTTTCTTTTTTCTTCAAACTGAGAAAAAAAGTACAACAAAGTCATGGCCACTTCTCATTTTCTTTCTCCTTAGTTTTTATTAGAGAGAAACAGGAAGAACACTTATTTGGCTTCATGGAAGGGGTGTGAAGGGCCTCTTAAGTAGGCCTCACTCCTTTCACTGCACCCAAAAGCTTAAACCTGAATCACTCAGGTGCTACCTGAGAGCCTCTGCCATCTCTGGCCACGGTCCAGCGAACCACTCACAGCATACAGTTCTCGTAGTCTCACCCCCAAATCAATTCCAATCAAAAGTAAAGCATATTACTCCAGCCTCCTGTCAAAGTGGCCTTTACAAAATGATGGCTTAGCACTACCTCCTTGGTTTTTACTCATGATAAAGATGAGATGCCACTATATATAAAGTTTCTCTATTATTTTTGTAAAAGTTTAGTCAGGGAATTTGCCCATTGTGTCATCATATAAAGCTATGTATGGCAAATTTTTCTCAGAGTTTAGGATAGGAAAAGTTTTTTCCTCCTAATGTTAATGTTTTCTCTTATAAAAGACTGGTACCCTCTCATGCATTGGGTTTTACCTTGGCTACTAAGGAAACTTAGGCAAGGTTTTTATGCATTTTCCAGTAACTTTCCATATCCCAGTTGTTTATTTGTTGAATATTTAATTTCCTCCCTAATCACCATGCCTTGACATTATTATGTGAGGCTTAGCTTTATTGTTAATGGTTTTCAATTTTAATGTATACGTACTTATATGATTGGGTACTTCAAGTTATACTGGGGAAAAGTTGTATATAACAAAGTGTGTTGATGTATGTATATGTGTGTATTATATGCAATATATATTATCATTAATGGTCATTGAAAACTGAAAAGATTTAGCAGTAATTCTGAACTGAAAAGACCTTAGCAATAACTTAAGTGAATGGTTGCAAACATCATCCTCTCATACATGAACCAATTTCTTCAAAACTTAAATACAGTTGGAAAATGAATATATAAGAGCAAAGTTCATCTGGCAGAAAGGGAAGGGGAGCATAGCCTCCACCCCTCACCTTGTTACCACCACTTTCCCCCTAATGAGGAGCTCTGCTGTCACTCCACGGAGCTCATAGTTTTCCACGGTACATATTTGAATATTATTGATCAACTTCAGTTTCTCCTTTTATAAATATAGAAAAATGGGACAATGGATTTTCTAAAAACACTTCTCTGATTGCCAGATGTTTATTTTTGTCACAGTTGAGAAATCAACCCCACTATTGGTTTAAAACTATGGTATTTCTCTTGAAAAGGGGTCAATGATTTGGTATTTTGTTAAAAGTTAAAGACAGTCTGAGATTTTTTAAAACTCAACAATGATGCAAACATTATTTTCTCTTTCCTACTTCTCCCCGGCCTATCCAGGGAGGTGCTGTCCTTTATTCTTTTCAGATTTGCTTTCCACTGGTTCTGTCCCCTAAAATATCTTTTTTTTTTTTACCTCTGAGAAAAGAATTGGATGGCTCTGCATTTTTTATATTTAATGAGCACAGATAAGATAAAGATTCTGTGGAATCTTAGTGATAACTTGTTTTTCTTTCTTGACCATTTTAAAATGTTGACCTGACTTTGATTTTTAACATTATACATACCAAATTCTATTGTCTGTTAGTAAAAGCTGCACATGTCTCTGTGTACCAGCAATCAATAAACTGAGGAATGAATAAGCTTGAGAGCACGGTTTATTTTACAAAAGTTTCCAGACAAAAACTAAGAAATATAATGTTATTATATGACATACAAAGATTTCAGACAAACTGCAGATACATCATATAAAGTTTTTTAAAGCCACATTTGAACTACAAATTTCAAAGTCACAATTTTTCATATTCAATTTTTCAGATGGAACAGGAAAGCACAGAAAAGTTAGAGTCAATTTTTGTAGACTTGAACATATTGGCTTTTATGAGAAATGCTTCCAAAGCTACAATTTATTGTTTGTTTTCATTTTTTTTATGTTACATACATAGGCTTATTTTGTCCACTAGAACATATAGGTGATGTCATTGATAGAAATATTTGTTTAATAAAAACCATTTCAACATTAAAAATTTCAAGGATCATACGAAGATACCACCACTCTCTAGCGGTGAAACCCTGAAGTAGTAAAGTCATTAGGGCAGATTGTCTTCCAGTTACCACACTGGCTCATCCAGGTAGAGGAAGGAAGGGGAAGGCCTGAAGTTTGGATATTAGCAAAGAAACCTCAAGAAGACTACATATATCTGGATGTCCCCGATACCAGGGACATGGAGGAGAGTGGTGGGGGGAAAAGCAAACCATTGCCAAAAAGATATTGATCAAAGCAATGTCTGATCCCCTTTCATGAGTGCTGGGAAAAACCTGGCACTAATTAAACTAGTGCCTGAGTAAAGTCCCAGGGGCTTTTCTGAACTAGAATGAGGCGTTGGATGGGAGATCAAGAGGAATAAAGAAATCAAATGTATCAGACTAGTTCAGGATATAAACAATGAACAAAGCAGGACTGCCAAGGACTCAAGTTTATTGGATGTTGGTCTCCTAGAGGCCAGGAGGAGATGAAAAGGGATCAATTGGCCAATGTAAACACTAAGGCTTATCCAGACAAGTAAATATTTTGTCCAGGCTCCACCCTTTGGTTATGTAGTCATGTCTTGATAAGCTCCTGAAGTCTGCCCCTGGTCCTAGCCTTTATCATGGAGTTCTCCATTCTTATATCAATCTCATCTTTAATCTCTCCAGTTACCTTTAATGAAGCAAGATTTTTATAAGGATCACCAATTGATAAGTCAAATGACATATAGATTATCCAATTAATTCAATCAGAAGAATAAATCCAAGTCATCCCATACACCTCAAGCAGTCTTGATATAGAACAAATCTTTCAAATGAGAAACCAAATAGGACTAAAAGATAATCTGAATTGGTAAAACAAGGAAGAGTTCATGACAAAGAGAGATCTACAGAGGGCACTGAGTGAATCCTTTGTACATAGAAGTATGATGATGAGATTATGCAGAGAGAGGCTTTTCTAAATTATTGAGCATTATAAAATACGTTAAAAATGCAAAGCCCTCTGTAGATACCAGATCCTATGTGAGTTATTTTTCTGGCAGTAAAAAGGGAGGATGGTAATAATAGTAATCTGAATTTATGGAGGGCCTATCACCTTAGATACTTGTGCTTTAGAATGCCGGTTTATCAATCTTCAGGACTATCTTATAGGAAAAGTAGCCAATGCTATTAGCTCCTTTTGCAGATAAGAAATTGAGACACAGACAGATTATGTGGCTTATACAAAGCTTGCACAATGAAACTGGGAGTAGAAGGAAAAATCGTTAGCTATGAAGGTGGGAATGTGGCCCACAGATAAAGAGTTGGCAGACTTGACCTTCTCCTGTTCAGATGCATGAAGAAAGTAGGCATCATCCCAGCTAAAGATATCTGAGGCATAAGGGGATTACACCATGAAGAGATCTGGGAGTGTGTGGAGTGTCAGAGGCAGCCATTTAATGCAGGAGACAGCAGTGAAGTATACAGGTGAAAGCCCTGGCTTGGCTTGCCTTGCTCAGCATAATGGCCATTCTGGCACCTTCTTGGCCTGAAGACAACCCGTTGCTCTCCCACCACACCCTCCAACAACACTAAGGAGATCATCACATAATCATCAGGAAGCAATCCACTTCAGAACCATGCTCTACTAGTAAAATGAAATGGCTCAAGTTAAACGGGAAACACCCAGCAACAACAGAGCATTTACTAACATGAGAAGTAAACAAGACAATGAATGAAGAACTTACAGAGGTGAGTCAAGAGCACATAAAATGTCATTCAAAGATAATACTACAGAATCCACTTCAGTCCTTACCACCTTCTTTTAATAATAAAATAGACTGTATTTTTAAATAAATAATTCTTATTTATTAAGAAAATGTTTAAAATAAATTTAGAAATAAATAACACTAGGTGTTCTATAAAATGAATCAATAAGAAAGCTGTAAATTATATATATATATATATATATATATATATATATATATAGTTTCATAAAGGAAAAAGGCCTTTAGAAAAGAGTTTTATAAAGAAGTTTTGATTTAAACACATCCTATACACTTATTAGCAAGATAATGAAGGAAAAACAAATGACTATACCACTTTGCATGCACACACACACATGCATTTACACTCCTATACTCATTTAAATTATTACTAGAAATGGAGAGCTACATATAAACATAAAAATATCTTTCATTAACAAACACTAAGTTATATTTCAAAATAATGATAAAAACTGAAGAAAAATATGATAACATCCAAGAAAAAAAGAAGTTACTGAGAGACCTCTAGTATCAACATTCTCAATCAATTTACTCATAACAACAAATCCTGGAAGAAAAAGTAAATTATTGTCAAATTGCAACAGGCAAAAGTGCACAGGTTAATTATAGGGAATTTCAACTTTAGGAAATGGCTTAACTCAATTCAAGACATGAGAGAGAGAAAGCAATTATATAAAAGGGGAGCCAAAACAATGCACTCAACAATCTGTACCCAATTTCCTATTTTGCTTGAGTCAGGAGAAATTCCCATTGCCTCATAGCTAAAAGACATCCCTTGCCATGCTAGCCTAGAAACATGGGTCTATCCAATGTTTGCATGCCTATCATCTGCTTCCAGGCAGAGTGGATATTCAGTGAGAATACCTGGATACCATATACTGGCTAACATCCACTCTGATAGGTCAGTGGATGTGCTATATCCTTTTTTGAATATTTGTAATTTCACTCTGCATCTAGGAAAGTGTCAACCTAAGTGGTTTAGCTCTCTTTTTTAAAGTCTTCAAAGATGACTGGGTATTATTTGTAATGATGGATTTCTATTTTTATGTTTCCTTATTAAAAATATATATTCTAAAGGGAGAGATGTGGAGCAATGTCATCTGAATTGATAAATCAAATATAAAGATGATCTTGATGGGTACTGGTCATACCCAGAGGA